CCTGCCAACGTAACTCCAGCATCCAGAATTATCGTTTCGAATGTCGATATAATCATATTGGTTCGTCCTTGGTACAAATCGTATGCATGCCTTACTATGAAAATCGTTCATCGCACGATATATATTATTCATTTGATCTTGATCTGCAATGCAAAAGTTATAACCAAAAAATGATTAAAATCACAAATTAAAGCACCTTTTGTGGGTCGGACTGCATCTTGAGGCCTAATAATATTTAAATTTTTATATGTAAAGAAAATTCTGAAAATGACTGATTAAATTAATGTGAAGTTTATATAATTTACACTACAAAAATGTTCACCATCTATTATACGCTGAGACGTGTACTTGATTTATTTTATACTTAATTTTTTATTTGTATTTGTCATTGATAAAATCATAGAACAGGTTGATAATAATAACGACAATATTATTTTATTTTAATATTTTCATAAGTTAGCGACATTAAGTTAGAAATATTAAAAATATTAGAAAATACTTCTACATGTATGTTGTCTAAAATTATTGACTTTATCATGGAGAAAGCTAGAGTAAAGTAAAATAAGGGTGCGATTGTCACATTTTATACGCTATGAATTCCTTTATTTAAAAAATGTCTGATGTGACGTATAAGAGATGTAGGTATTTAAAGTTTCAAAAATTGTTAAATATTAGAAAATAGCACAAAAATGTTTATATATACGTACTTATCGTATACATGTATCAAAAAATACAAATTTATTAATTTGTAAATTTAAATGTTTTTTATTCATTTATAAAATATATCTGTACAACTATATCATACAATATAATGTTTTATTATATTTTTAATATCCCTTCTAAAAAAAGGCATGACTACCGAAATTTAAAGCCTGATTAGTTCTGTTATTGCGCTTACTTCGCGAGCAGATGTCATTGCATATTTTGACAGTTGTGTGTTTAAGGTTGATGGAGTGTATAGCAAATATAGTAAGAAGTGAAAAATGTTAAACGTGCGAAGCGCGGATCTGTAATGCTAGTATTCTTAAAAAATGGATAAAAAATTATCTTTTTTTTAGTATTTAGATACAATTACGCACGGAACTAAAAATTACGATGTTATATAAAGCCCGGGCTACAATTGCGTAAGCATAGTTGCAAGTAGTTGTAGTTGTAAGAATTCACCAATCACAATTAAATATAAGAAAAATATTCGATTGTAATTGGTCAGTTCTTACAATTACACTTACGTAATTGTAGACCGGGCTTAAAAGGAGGATGTTAAAAAAGGACCGATTTTGGCCCAGAAAGGTGTAAGTAAAAACAATAATGAGATAAATAGATTTTGATATCCTCGATAGGATAGAATTATTAAAAAGTTCATAGCACTTGGGGAACATCTTGAAAATTGAGCATAAACACGGCGTATTTAGTAAAAATGTGTTTATACTTAATTTTGAAGATGTTCTTCAAGCGCTACAAACTTTTTAATAATTCTATTGTATTCAGGAGATCACTAGGAAAATTTAGGATAACATTATTATTTTTACTTACACCTTATTGGACCAAAATCGACCCTTTGTTAACATCCTCCTTTGATTTAGATTCTGATATCATAGAGAATATCTCGAGATTATTAATTATGCATCTAATGTAATTTAACGTCATTAGAATTTTTTATTTACCTACGTGAGAAACATTTTGTACTTTTACAAAAACTATTAAATTACAATAAAATAATACCTATATAGCTATTGAATTATAATTCGTTAATTTCGAAAGACATGTTTGAGTACAAAATGTCTGAATTTTTTTTCTCAAAGGTACTTACTGAATCTACCATTAATTTCGAAGGGAACAACGCCATTATTCCAACGCTGTGCTCTTCTATCACCGTTTATTGTGGTGATGTTTGAAATCATAATATCTCCCTCGAAGTAGTTGCCCAATTCTTCAGGGTTCATTTTCATTTCCTTGGTCCATTGCGCTACCTTGGCTCCTGTTTCGAGATCCGGTTCCATCTTGTATCCTTCAATATCCCTCGAGTAAGGGCCCGCCCTCACTGATTCAATTATTGTGAGGACGAGAAGCGTCGACGCGAAAGTGACTAACAATCGACAGAACATGATGATAGATGTTAAATCAAATTACAGTATGTTACCTCTTCACCTATGGTCTTACGACAGCAAAAGCGATTGCAGTAATATAATCTTTTCGATCGCCTCCCTTTTTATACGTTACGGCACAATAATTTTCATGCCCCACCTTTGCCACTTTTAATGGCTCATATAATACGGGCATAATTATTTCAAAAATGTTAACCGAAAATATTAATTTATGGACGATCAACCAAGAGTCGGTGTACAATTTTAATTGTGATATATATATTTTTTATACTATGGTGGAAACGATAGACACGAATTGAATATGATGACTTAGATTTCTTTTATTGAATAAATTAATTGCATCATATCTGACACTGTATATTAAGATTTTATTATTCGTGTTTGGATTATGTAGCTTATCTTTATCGTAAGTATCATCGTGTTCAGATATTTATGTATTGTAAATAGAAAATGTTCGACAGTTTCTATTCTATAAAAGAGATTGATATATTTGAATTATTAAACGTATGTATTTACAAATAAGATGTTCAATTTTATAATATTTAATAAGTTATCAGAAACATAATTGTTTTCTTTTAATCAATATGTTTGACCTTTAATCGATACATTTATACAACTTTTTAATAAAATACTAATTACTTAATAATACTTCTTTCTAAAAAAAGACATGGCATCGATATTTGCATCCACCGAAATTTGAAGTCTCTTTTTAGCGATTCTGATTGGTTCTGTCATTGTACTTACTTCGCGAGCAGCTGTGATTCTATATTTTGACAGTTGTGTGTATTGAGATTGATGGAGTGTATAGCAAATATAGTAAGAAATGAAAAATGTTAAAAAGCGCGCGCGAAGTGCACGTCTGTAATGCTAGTATATATAATATAATTAACATAAAAATTAAATTATATAATAATGTTAAAAAAATAATAAACATAAAATTATGTAATTATTCTTACAATAAATACACGATTGTATCGATTGTAATATGAACCTTATTATTATCACTCCATTGTGTAATAAAAAATGGGAATATTTGTAACCTTGCACTCTAATTATTTTAATAACTGTAATATTTAGCAAAATTATGTAATTGTAAAATAGAAAATGTTAAATTCTATTCTTACAAAACATTTATAATACACAATAGTCGCAAAGATGGACAATGTTAAAAAGAAATACGATCTATATACGTTATAAAGAAATACGACTTATATGTATATGTTGAAACATGAATATATGTATAAAATTTAGAAAAAAAAATGTTTAGAATAATTAAACTTTTTTATTAATCTAATGTTGCGATCAAACATCGAATTTAAAATGTTAAAAGAAAATTTAAAGAAACAAGAAAGGATTGAGTAAGAAGGGGGGGAGGGTATGGAAGGATATTAAGTTAGGCAGATTGCCTCATAGGTATGTATATGTGTATACGCAGAGGCATAACCTACGAGTCGAACGCTTTTTGTCGCTGTAGAATATATATCGATCAATGTCCTGAAAGGACGCTATATATTCTATAACGCCTTTTTCCATAAACAGTGCTGTTGGTTTTATTATTTTGAGTTAAAGAACTTTATTCTTATATCTCAACAATTGAAATACGTGCAATCTCTGTAAAGGAGAATAATCATGAGGGTTCAAACTTTACGTGGAAATCTGTAAATTTCTC